AGTAAAGGAGCAACGCTCCCCCTCCCCTAGGGACACTATCCAACAGGCTTCAAACGCAGCTAATGAGTTCCTCTCCTCCATGGTGCGTCGCCAAGCAAACTGCAGTCCTAGGCCCCAAAACTTGGCACATAATACGGCATGGTCACCCCCTCTCAGCCCCTTGGTAAAACTAAACATGGACGCGGCTTGGGACCTGTTTGTGCCTAATAAATCACGGCCAGAAGGAGCCCCTTTTTCTCGGCCCTAGCACTTGCTCGTAAATCTAAAACGCGGCGTTTCGCCGAGATGTTTGACCTTCCTGAAAACAAAAGAAAAATTGCTAAGGCATGATCATCTCAACCTCGATTATAGGCCGAGGCCGAACAAAATCACGGCCAGAGGTATTAAAGTCAAATCATCATGTGACAACAGGGTCCCATGCTTCATTTAATGAAGTAATGCCTCTATTTATTGCAGCAAACCCACTGGCCACGAATAAGCATTTAATGCACGAGGGAAGGTGGGAAGTGACTGAAGTCAGGATTTGGTGATAGGAATCAGAGTGATTAGACGCAAACATTCTCACAAGGATTCTTACAGCTTGAGAGATTAGGTCACCAGCTATCAGAGCAATAAATGCATCCCCACGGCCAGAAGCGCAGAACCCACAATCAGGGCGGCGGCCGAGATTTACCAGGATTCATGGGGTCACACCACCATGCTTCACGATCCCAAGTGTTGATTAGACTACCCACTTGCTTTGATCAGGCTCCACCATGCAAATTTTCAGCCTCGATTACTCCTCCAAGCGTTCCTCCTATAAATACCAAGTTCGACCTACATTCAAAGGGTTCAAACACCAAACCAAAAAACCTCCCATGGAGCAACTTATATTTTCCTGTAATGCACTTTCAATATCTTTACTTGCTTTCCTCGGAGTAGCATTAGATTGTAAGGAAAATCCGTTCATCAATATATCATACGACCCTTGATTTTTAAGGCGCCGGAGCACCATCTCTGTTACTCTCTCATTCACCCCATATATCATACGACCGTCGCTCCCGGAGCAACGCGCCGGAGCAACGCCCAAAATCCACTATCAGCACCACCATTAAACGGCCTTGTAGCTCAGGCCGTGAACCTGATGGCTGAGATCAGTTCCTCTCTCGGCCACAATCGTTTGATTAGGAGTCGAACCCAAACAGGCGCATCACTTAACCATTTTCATCCACATCACCATCTCGACGCACGGTAGACCGTGCTGGCACGCCCGCGCACAACCGCACCGCATCCAAAAGCAGGAAGCCACGTGTTAACGCACATCCCCTCGGCCCGGAACCCCAGGCCGTGAGATTTGCGCAGCCAACACTTTTGGCACGCCCAGTGGGACTCTGTCAAAAACTCATGGTGGAAACTAGGGCACAGGCAAAGCTCAAAAACAAAGCAGTCGAAATGACTTCTGAGACTCCTGAGTCCACCTCAACAATCACTATCACCGAGACCGAACACGTGGTCGGGATCTCGGCTAGCGTCCCAGTAACGACGGATCGCACGGCCGAGTCCATGCAGGAACAAGCAGTGGTGGAAGATCTGATGTCTAAGCAGGCCTACAGGATGAAGACATCCTTTATGGCCTCGATGGACAGATTTTCCTCGGAACTGCGGACGCTTTTTCAGGAAAGGATGCCGGCAACCTCGTCCGCGACACCTCCCAGAGCCGGGCAGAGAGGCCAAGAGCGCGAGAGGATCGAGCCTCACGGCGAAAGCAGCAGCCTCGGCATCTATGGCCGAACCCAAGCGTCTGGTTACGGCTAGCATTCTCCACCGTCGACGAACAGCTGGGGGCAGTCCCAGCCCACATGGGCGAATCCCGGACCAACCTACCCGGCAGAGACAGCATGTGGCCCACTCCACGCTTTGGCCAAAGCGTTAGGGCAGGGTAGCCCTGCGTTGTCCACGGTTCAGCAATTCGGCCCAACCCATACTTTGAACGTGACCGAAGCACCATCACAACAATACGATCAGAATGGCTTGACCGCTGCACTACCAGTACAAATACACGATCCGGCCATTCCGACGACAACGCAGATGCACTTAGGTTCCCATTATGATGCAATCCAACATAACCAGGTGGCCATACCTCGATGGCCGGCGAACCAAACGTACCTCAGTCAAGCCCACGGCGTTCCTCTGGTACCGCCCGGCTCGGTCACAGCGGCCGAGCCCTTTGCTCGAACGACCCAGCAGGTAAAGCCGTGAGACAATGCGCAACGGGATAGGCCTTTTCAAGGGTTTCAGTTCGAAGATATCCGATCTATGATGAAAGACGGTTTAGCTCAGGGGCAGCCGGGGGCACCAAGTTATACAAAGCCGTGCCTATCTAGAAAACCTAAGGCTTGGCACGACTTGCTCCCTGAGGTTTTTGGGGCGCGCCGCACTTCGAAACATTCGGCCATGGGCACATCTCCTTATGCTTTGGCCTACGGCAATGACACGGGTAAATTAATGAAGCTAAAGGTTCGATTTCTCCAAGCTATCAAGCAACTTGGCCAAGGGGGAAGGACTACGCACAAACCATGCCCTGGAGTTCAGAAGATTTAGAACAGTCGAGACTCGACGCTTACAACTCGGTGCAAGTTTTAAAAAAAATGGCACCGAGGGCCTACGACAAAAAAGTCAAAAAGAAAAAAGGGGGAAGTAGGCGAACGAGTTAAACAAATGGTGCGGTCAACATAAAGCGAAAAGCATACGTTTGATATTTTAGGGAAAAAGGCCCTGGCCTTATATTTAGATTAAAAAGTTTTCTTTACAATAAGGGTGAACGGCCAGTTGTGGCCAATCGAAGAACAAATACAGATGTTATACAAATATATGTATATAAAATAAAATGTATGTATGTAGTTAATTATTGCATCCTGAAAAGTATTTAAAACAGCCGCTCCTCGCTCGCCGCTCGCCTAGACCCCTTCGCTGAACATCCCCCAGATCAGGCAGGTGATCCTTCTCCAAGCAATGTCCCCGCCATTTATGTCCGCCTGCCACCTCGCCCGGATCAGCTTCCTCTCGGCCAATGCCTTCTTCGTCTCGGTCACTGCTTTAAGGATTTGCCTGGCCGAAGACTTCAGCTCGTTTCCGGCCGTAACCGCGCCATCTCGGCGCTGAAGTATGAGATCTCGACGGGCCTGGAGCTAGGCAATCTGAGCCTCAACCTGCGCAAGTTCTTCATTCTCACGTTGGACGACGAGGTCATTCTCTTTCAATCGGGCCATCGCAGGTCGGACTTGTTCTTTTATCTCCACCAGCTCTTGCTCGAGCGAGCTCCCCTCGGCCATCCTCGCAACAGCTTCAGCATACTGGCCGATCATTTCCTCGCCTTCAGCCAGGCGGGCTTGCAACTCATCCAGCTGAGCCGAGTTTAGCAGACCGAGCGCCATAGCTGTATCCAAGCAGGACCTAAACTCCATGAACGCCTCGGTGGTGGTTATTTGATGAACTCCAAGGAAAAGGAACTCTCGGAGCCGTTCAACGACGGTCTTGGAATCCTCGTCCAGGGGAGCCGAGGTTGAGCTACCTCCTTCCTCATGGAGGCTGGCGTATAACTCCTCAAGATCATCAGAGGAGGTGGTCTCCTGGAAATGGAAAAAGGTTGGGTGAGAAACAACCAACCAGGACATGAGGAACGACAAGATAAAGAAAAAGGCCGAATACTCACGGCAGTGGCGAGCAACGCGGCAAGAACTTCGGTCGCCGAAAGCTCGGTCAAGACCGCCGAAGTAGCCCGCACAAGACTCGGCACACCCACGACCGTGGCCCCGGTTACCCCCAGATCGGTCACGACCGTCGAGTCCTGGGACAACGGTGCTGGGGGCATGATTGCGGTAACCATGGACAGCGGTGGCGACGACCGGGGAGGCTGGAAGCGAAAATGCGGTCAGAAGCATGTAGCGCAATTCTAAATAATAAAAGCTAAGTATAATGAAATCAAAACGCTTACCGAGCGGAACACGATGCTGCTTGGACGGCTAGGAGCGGACAGCAATGGCTCGGCAGACGCGGTAGCAGCCAAAGAAGGCACGGCAAAAGTAGCCGAGAAGACTTCTACTGGGGCGGCCCACCTCTTCAATCACCACCTCGGCTGCGGCCGCTTCCTCTGCATTCGGCACCTCGGCCGTAGTTTCCTCCTCGACCACTACTTCGTCCTGAGGAAAGAACCAAATTACCAAAGTGTATAAAGAGGGGAGGGGGTGACCTGGAGAATAAAGAGGAGGGAAGAAATCGAGGAATACTCACGGCCACAGGAGGGGCTTCACTTATAGTCACAGGAGGGACTTCCTCCTCATCCTCGCCCTCCAAGCAAACAAGGAGGGCCCTTTTTCTCGACCGCTCTGGCGCCGCCATCTCGACCGCAACACTCCCAGCCGGCGTCGCCTCAGCTGGAGCAGCCTCAGTGCTTGAGGTCTCTCGACCCCTCTTGCGACCCAGGGCTGCGTATACGAAGAGAAAGAGGCAAAAAGAAGTAAGGAGTAAGATAAACGAGGACAAAGATGACTCAAGGAGGACGAAGAAAATAAAAAATATATATATAAAGAAGAGTGCTTACCAGCAACGGCACTCGGCCGAACAGGAGGAGAGGACGGCACGGTCCTATGCGCCAGGGTCTTCAGCGCCCCCACCTCGGCCGTCGCACTGGGAGTTGGGGCCGCGGTCGAAGCCGCGACCGTTGCTCCAGCCGGAGGAGGGGCCGTCACCCTGGGTACGGCCACGGCCGGAGTACTCGGTCGAGGAGGCCCGGTTGATACCTTCTTCACTTTGCTACCCTTAGGGGAGAGGGGGTCCCAATCTGCATTCTTCAGAGCCACTCTCGCGGCCTCTTCAATGGGCCGGATAAATCTGGCCGATATGCACTCTTCGTTCCAGACCCTTCCATCCTCGTCATACGCATTCCGACGCGACCAAGGCGTCAGAGTCAGGAAGGTCATCCCCTTTTGGAGCTGGAAGGAAATGCCAGCTACGCCGTGCTGCTAGGTGACATCGGCCCTCCAGGACGAGAGCCGGTTGATTGACAATGGGGGAAGTGGGGCCGTCTGAATCAGGCCAAACTGCCGCGCCACGAAATTTGGCAGATAAACCTCGACCCCGGCCTTGGATAGGCCGCAGTGAAGATCACGCGAAACTAGGAAGGAGCCCCAGATCTCCTTCAAGTCGTTCTCTGTCTCGCCATCAGGAATGACGGAGAGGTCGTGCGCCAGGAACAGAGGGAATGGTCGAGCAAGGCAGACGCAGAACTGCGCGCCAGTTCTCTCGGCCAGGCCATAGAAAAATTTATAGCAGAAGGCCGAGGTGTTATGCTTCCTGGGGGCTCGGGCAAATGCATTGGCCAAGGGCTCGGTGTCAGTAATGTTGGCCACCCCCCTCAGCTCTGGGAAGTAAGCTTGCAGCCAGAACTGGAAAGCCCATAGTGGACCACCGTGCTTCAGCTTCATCCCATTGGTAATGATGTCATGAAGTGTGCGGTAGATGTGGCCGAGCAGGAATTGGCCGAGTGCTAACCTTCCGCCCTGCGCAAGATAATCAGCCAAGTGGGAAAATTCCATGGTGACCTTGTTCGCCTGGGTACAGAACACAAACTTGCACAGCCAGTACAGCAAGAATGCGGCGTGCTCAACTTCGCCGAAGTTGTTGTAAAAACTGGAGTAGTTGAGCAAGTTTTTTGCCTTGCTCCCGGCTATCTTGGTGACCTCGGGCCAGGCGGCCTTGAAGCTCCCTTCTGCTTCAGGAGCAATAAGTGCGGCGTTCACTTCTACGCCGAGAGGAGAGAGGCTAAAAAGGGCGACCATGTCTAGAACGGTCGGTGTCATCATGCCAAACCGAAAGTTCATAGTATTGGTAGCCGACGACCAGAAGCACAGGGCCACGGCCAAGAGCGACCGGTCCATGGCGAGCGGCCGATTGAATAGCTTGATCAAGTGGTAAATGCCTTGATCTTTCCATTGCTGGCCGAAGAAGTGCTCCATCCTCGGCAGCCATTTTTCCCAATCCGGGGTCGAGGTTGGCCATTGTTGCTGCGGCTTGGCAACATTCCAATCTTGGAAGTCCCCCCCGTCAAAGGCCAAAAGGTCCACCAGATTGTTCTTCAAATGGGCCACTAGCCTCCCTGGCATTCCGCAGGGGCTGAGAACGCAGGAATCAGTGGCAACGCCGTCATCATCAGTCCAGGGCATGATGATGTTGGGTCGGACTGAGCCTTGGATTTCTCGGCAAATATCCTCGAACTCAGTCTGAAAGGCTTGAGACCGAGCTTCAACAGATATAGAGGTACTGGAGGCCATTAAAACATATCTAAGTTGGGTAATTGGAAGGAAAATGCAGAGAAAGGGGTAATGAACGTGAAGAACACTGGAAGAAAACCCGGAAAAGGATGAGGGTTTGTGGGTTCTTGAAAGGACGGAACTCAAGAATAAAAGAAAGTCGTGGTTACAGGCAAGGTTCTCTGGTAAAACTTGGGGACTTAAGAGCGTGGTGGGATTGAAGGATTGAGAGAGGTTTTTTTGGCAAAGCTTGGGCGTCTGAGAATTCTGAAAGCGTGCTCAAAAAGCACGATGACGTGTCGGAAGCCCAGAGGCCGTCGTTTCATTTGACGAGGTGAAGCGACGCCTCGCGTAAGCCTGGGCAATGATGGCCTGCACGACGTGCTTGGGCATTAAATGCGCTTGGGTATTAAATGCGCCGATTGTCCTGCACATTTAATGCCCCAGTTGTCAATCACTTCAGAAGGAATGCAAAGGGTCCATCCCCTGGAATCCATTCGGCCCCTACGCATGCCGAGACCGAAGAATCCGGGGATGTGGGGGCAATGTTTGTGCCTAATAAATCACGACCAGAAGGAGCCCCTTTTTCTCGACCCTAGCACTTGCTCGTAAATCTAAAACACGGTGTTTTGCCAAGATGTTTGGCCTTCCTGAAAACAAAAGAAAAATTGCTAAGGCATGATCATCTCGGCCTCGATTATAGGCTGAGGCTGAGGCCGAACAAAATCACGGCCAGAGGTATTAAAGTCAAATCATCACGTGACAGCAGGGTCTCATGCTTCATTTAATGAAGTAATGCCTCTGTTTATTGCAGCAAACCCACTGGCCACGAATAAGCATTTAATGCACGAGGGAAGGTGGGAAGTGA